GAAAGCTAATCAATAATGGGTTACACATGATTTTTATTAATATCTCTATGATAACTAGCTAGTTAATAATAGTCTTACCTACTCTATTAACTATCTAAAACAGTTAGGGATCTTGCCTTATGTACATAATATAATGTTGTCTTGCAAAACTAAATACAATGTTGAAGTTTAAGCATGTGAGATCCCACATTAGTTGAAAAGGAGAAGGAAACATTTTTTATAAGGGTGTGAGAACGAAACATTCTTTATAAAGATGTGGAAACCTCCCTTGCAGACGCGTTTTAAAAACTTGGAGAGGAAACCCAAAGAGGACAATATCTTCTAGCAATAGATTTGGGCTGTTACAAATGGTATCAAAACCAAACATCAGGCAACGTGCCAGTGAGGAGGCAGAGCCTCAAAGGGGGTGGACACGAGGCATTGTATCAACAAGGACGTTGGGCACCAAAGATGGGTGAATTAGAAGGTCCCACATTAATTGGAAAAGGAAACGAGTGCCAGAAAGAACGTTGGACCATGAAGGGGGGTGAATTGTGAGATCTCACATCGGTTGTGGAGAAAAACGAAACATTCGGTGTAGAAACTTCTCCTTAGCAAACATGTTTAAAAAACTTGAGGGGAAGTCCAAAGATGACAATATCTGCTAGCGGTGGACTTGGGCTTACAAACCAAAGATGATCCAAACGAGTCTCTCCTCCTAAACATGAACGAGAGTGCATCTAATTCAGCATGAAGCTCCACAACCTTGTACTATATCTAGACGAAACACCCAGTAAACAGGAGTAGCTGATTGTAATACATTTAAAAGATTACCCAGAATTTTGACACAACTTCTAGAGAGAACTCGACTCAAATGACTGATTCATTATTTCATTTCTGCACCTGTTCTTCACCATGAATCTGTACAGTATTGGTAGAGCAAGAACATTTCAGATACATACTACAAGAATGCTTTGTAAGGATGCCATGATAGACTTCTGTGGAACAGCTGCACCAATATCAAGGAAACTTCACACAAAAGCAATCTCCATACGATTACGAGCCATCTCCCATCATTTTATCTCCATTACATTACTTAACCCCATGCATTTCAGAAAAATTGTACCAAAAATGAATGGTGCATCAAATGGAACGAACAAAGATAGCAATTCCTCACCCGGCTATCGACCAAACATAATGAAGATATCACAACGTGCATAAAACGATATGATCTAAGCAGATATCATATGTATATTGGCTGACAGGTGTGAACTGAGAATAACATGGTAAAGATATAAATGGTCATAAGCTATAGCTAACTCATAATCTTATGAACAATGTGATGATGCAGTATGATGATTAGCTTACAACACGATAACTCTATATTCATCTTACTCTCTATCCTTTACCAGATTTCCAATCATGTTTACCAAAGACGGAGTTCCCTTTGCCATGATTTCAAGCCTAGAGGCATTAGATGCGTTAGAGAATAACGAAAGCCCAAAGAGTATAAGCTCGGGAAGAAACAGTCGTGATGACAAGAATCCATGCCAATAGCGAGGTTCGAGATCAAAAAACGCATCAAAAAACCTTCTTGTACCTTTTAGATCAAGCTTCAACAAAATATCCATCCCAAAACAGAAAAACTCCCTCTGCCTCCTCCTTTCGATGGGCCATAGATCTTTCCAAACTTCAGACGATATCTCATCTCCCCTGAAACGTCCATCCGAACCAAGGAGCCGAACGATTGCACTAGCAACGATAGGTGCTGCTGCAAGAGTTCTTGCTACCATATATCCAGTCGAAGGGTGCACCATCCCTGCCGTTCCACCAATTCCGACAACTCTTTGAGGTAGAACAGGCAACGGACCACCCATTGGAATGACACAACGCTCATCCTCTTCAATGCTCTTCACTTTTATTCCCAAGTGCTTCAATCTCGACTCCATTCTTTCCTGGATATCGCTCATTTGTAGTCCCGGTCGAGCTACCAAAGAAGTTTCTTCCAGAAATATCCGATTAGATGAAAAGGGCATCGCATAGAGAAATGTAGGAATTTTGCTATTTCTCTCCTTTAAAATCATGTTGTTATCCAGATGCGAATCCCTCCAATCCATAAACACCATCTTGTCGACGTCGAACGGATGTTCCTCGACCTCAGCTAAAATTCCATAAGCTACTTGGTAGCCCGGATTATAAGGCTTATTATACTGAACAAGGCATCGAGAGAAGCCAGTAGCATCAAGAACAACAGCAGCTTGAATGGTAACACCATCATTGCAAATCAACAAGGATTTGAATTCCTCATGTATAACTTTAATAACCTTAGCTTCATGAAACTTAACACCATTAGAAATACATTTCTGCAACATTTTCGACTTCAGCTGTTTTCGATTAACCCTCCCATAAGGTCGAGCAAGATCTTTCGTTGATTGTTCATTCGTGAACACAACAGCACCGGACCACGTCGTGTCGAGGCAATCGAGCAAATCCATCGCCTCGAATTCATCCACCCAAACCCCATAATTGTTTGGCCAAATCAACTTGGGAGATGGATCAATTGCACAAACAGAAAGCCCTGCCTCTGAAACCTGCTGTGCAACAGCAAGCCCTGCAGGGCCACCTCCCACAACAGCAAGATCCACGACAAGGCCCTTTGAAGGATCATACATAGGAAGTTCAAACTCAAGATTCTCCTTCTTGGTTTCAGGAACAAGCTCCAAAAGAGCACTATTCCTCCATTTCACACGACCCTTCCTATGGCCAAATCCAAACTCCCGACTCTGAATCTTCGTACTCCTAACACCACCCCTCAATTTCTCCGAAACTCCATGAGATTGTTGCAGAAAACCATATTTGTTATTGATTTTAAGCAAAGTATCCATGGATTAACAAAATTCCCAAACCCTAAACTAATGATATATACTAACACAGAGCAACACAAACAGAATTTTCAGCAAATTCGAAAATGAAATTCCCACAAAAGACACAATATCCAGAAATCTCAACAAACGAAGAATCGAAAAGCGGTAGCTCAATTTTTCATGAAAACCCCCAAAACTCGACAAGATAAGTTCAATTGAAATCGCGGTTCAAAACATGAAGAGGCGTGTGTTTGGAGGCCAACCTGAGGACTTGATGGAGCTCCATTTGCTAGAACGATGTGGAGCGCTTATGGCCAGTCCAATTTTGACGAACTGATGTTGCCGGCCGCTCTATTCCAAGAGATGGGCGTTGGGGAATTGAAGGGAGATTGGGAATTTGGCAGTGTCCTCTGGCATGGATGAATCCATGTTCTCGCTAATTAATGGTGGTGATAACTGACAGCGACGTGAGAGTGACTATGGCTCGCTCAATTTGCTTTCTCCACTCCTTCAAATATCACAATGGTGGGTGTTCTAGTTTCATGATATACTCAAAATTTTCAACGTAATTTCTCTTCTACCATTTGATTTTTTCGCTCACAACTTGTTACATAAAGACCATCAACACTAGCTCAAGGGCTCATTATGCTATTCCCTTTAGTCTCGGGGTGAACCTATACACACTACTGTAAACAAGTCTAGAAACCCCCTTTGAAGATTTGGATCATAAAAACCACATCAGTTATTGGGCATTAATGAGTCCAAAGATATCACAATAACTCAAAATTACCATGTCAAACTTGAAAAAATTCTTTGAAATATTAACCTTATTGACTCGTACTTTAAGGAACCTTTGTTCGGGACCAATACATGTTCTTTAATCAATTCATGTTAATCAATATATCGTCACATGGATCAACTCCTTCATCTTAAGGATCAAATCTAATGTGCTCGCTAGAAAACACTAAGGCGTCTAAAGTCTGACTTAATAACTCATGTATCTTATAGTTATATATAAAATATTAAAATATGAGACATCAAAGATTGTTTGAAGAGGTGAGATTGAGAGCCTGTTCTCAACTACAAGAATTCCACATTGATAGTTTTGATATTATATGTAGTTTTTATAAGTTGGTTGACGAATGAATTGAACATAGAGCTTAGTAACGTGAGCTTGTAAACCATGTGTGGGCAATAAAATGGTTGGAGGGTTGGCTTAGCCTGTTAGTTAGGGTCTTGGGACTTAGGCGAAGATCCTTGGGTCATGGTCCTTAGAGTCGAAGGAAATCGTGTAAGCTTGGTTTCACAGAGCACAGCGTTACCTGAGCCCAATATATGTTTCTTAGAATCAATTTGTAGTTTGGATAAGATTTGGGGATAAACTTGAATTTCTCCCTCTCATTCAAAATTAGTCATTCCATTTGCTTTAGGTTAAGTTGAACATTTTTTATGAGTCGAGGGGTTTGCTCAAGTGAGAAACATGATTTTTAATCAACTTTGATGAGTTGTAACTCGAGCTACATTGCACGTGTACCCTCTATAAGGAGGCATGTGGCATGTTCGTCTTCTTCCTTTATGAGGAAGAAAACGATGATGTGACCAATTCAACTGAACCAGCAACATCAATCAAAAATCTGACTCCCTCTTGGATTTCCTTAAAATTAACCTCCTATACTGATTCTCATAAATTTCTTGATGGTTTCAGAAACTATACACTCCAAAGAGTCTACCAAAGAAAATTTGGAGTCATCACATGGATTATGTGAACCAGTCAAGTGGGATTAAAGGAATATGGAAGAATTAAGTAATAACGGTGAGTTAAAGACTTATACGGAGTGTTTTGCTTGAGAATCATTAAAATAACTCACAAATGAACTTCGCTCTTATTAAATTATAATACTATGTATAATATGGCATGTTAAGGCTATATATAAAATTTAAGAAAAAGAAAGCTGAGTGTAATTTTTAAATATTCAAATGTGAAATACAATACAAATATAAAAGGAATTTGCTTAGGGTAAAAAGGAATTTGCTTAGTGTAAAAGTAAAATAAAAAGATGAAAATCTAGTAAAATTAAAATGGAAGAAAGCTTACTATAATTTTCAAATATTTGAAAAGAGATTTAGATTTACAAAAAGGAAATACAATACAAATATAAAAGGAATTTGTAAAAGACTCCAAAAGACCGAAAAGGGGCTGACGCTCCAGAATGACCCCCTCTATGACCGCACAGCTCTTGAACGCTCCTCCACCTCGACCGGCACCTAACAAAAAAGGTAAAATTGAATGAGTATAAAAATTATACTCAGTAAGCCACCTACTTGTAGACTCTCTTCGCATCCTAACTTAACAAGTTCCCACGGTCTCCTAATTCGATTCTAGGACATATGGTTCTAATCTTAGTCCCTTGGAGCTTGCCCCTTGGGTTTCATCGATTCATCGTCCTTTCATTAGACACTTAGAGGTTCCTTACGCCAAGCTGATATGGTTGGTGACTCTCTATGAGATGTTACCTTTACATGACTATCTGGGACTACATGGTATCTAGCCTAGGGGTGTTTTGAATACCCCTAAGCCCATATAGTCCCCCTATGGGGGGCGCGACCCAACCCGTTCCCATGCAGCTAATGGGCTGTACGACTTGGGGACACATTTCCCATGCGAAATGGCTAAGAGCAGTAAGAATTGGTCAGGAACCCTTGGTCCTCCTACAAAGCTATAGATACCGTTCTCACACTAGCAATCTATGAACACTCCTGAGGTACCTTGTTTCCGTGGTAATCCGCTAAGTTCCTAGGGAAAAGTTAAGTCTGGCTAGAGCGACATATCGCTCCTAAAAGTAGTTCCCTAGGCTTATCATAGAAATGAGTCCTAGAAAAGAACAGAGTGTGCATGCAATCGTCTTCTAACATCATAATATATAGTTCATGCAAACTATGCATGCCGGCTCAATGGGACGATGACCTCCATCAAACACCCAAAACACGGAGTTCGCGCTCAATGGGGCGAACTCATCCATCAAGCACCCAGAACGCGGAATACACAATTTCAACATAAATTAAACGCATGCAAGCGTACGGTAAAAACTTAAAGCATACAAACAACAGTCAGATAATTCACCCAATACACTCATAACAATCAATCTGACTAAACTCATTCATGGAGAGCTAATCTAAGGCAAAGGTATTAGCATGCATGCAATCTACGCGAATCCTATAAGTATTTCTTCCTAAATACTGGGTGGTAACTTACCTGGTTGACGCGTGCCTTTTCACTAGCGTTTTTTTGCCCGTGAGGTGTCCAAAAATACTGATTTCCTTAAATTAGGTTCCTATTCACATAAAAACATGATTAGAATCGAAATCGGGATGAAAATTAAGCAGACAGAAGTCGGACGGGTCGGAACTAACCCTCATGTGCTCCCACACGTCCTCATGTGCTTGGAGAAGATCTACTTGCGAGTACCATGCGTGTGCGCTCTCTGCGTAGTCATAGTCCAGGCGCCCCATGCGAGTCGGTGAGTTAGCAGGTCGGTTCGCTTGTGTGGGCCACAGCTGGTTTGGGTTTGAAGGCAACACGTGTTGTTGTCTCACTGGAGCTGTGTAGCTCCGGCCGACGCTCGGCACGTGTCCCCTGCCTGCCCAGTCGCATTTCACCGCCCGCCGTCGAGACGTGGTTGTCGAAGTTTCTTCTCTCTTTGTTCTTGGACGATTCACTGGTTTCTGCCTTCGGATCGAGGTTTTAGCCAAACTTCTTCAAAGATCCTATAGAGAGTTGTTCGTAGATGAATATATCAAGATTTCAAATCTTGATTCACAAAGATATGAGAAAACGTTCAAGATCTTATCTCGCGGGTTTTTTCGATTTCTTGATGAAAAATGGGACTCCGGCCACCCACATCCTCTTTTCCCTTCCAAGAAAGGCTCCTTGCATCATGATTTTGATCAGAATAGACTCTGCCGGTAGTTTTCGGTGAGTCTTCCGGCTGTTCATTCTTCCTCCTCACTCTAGGTTCTCCCTAACCGTTTCTCTTACTATTTCTCTACTCTTGATAGGGTTTCATTTGGACCCCTTAGTAGTTGGAGACCTATTTTCCCCTCTTGACTTTTCCTTTTTTTTTTCTTTTTTTTTTCTATTTCTATTTCTATTTCTTCGAGTATTACATGTAGGGTTTCAGGTTGATTATCATGGGTACAACATCTAATTTATCCCGTGTAATTTCTATGTTTGAACCACTATGAATCTTCCTCCATCCTCAATCTCAAATAGTGGTTTCATAACTTTGAACAAGATCGTAATACATCATCTTCGCCATAACTCAATAATTTTAAATCAACTTAGAATTCCAATACTTGCCGTTGTTCTCGATCTTAGCTCTAATTATACTTTATAATTAATGTCAAGATAGGGAAGTTTCTACATTTTGCTACTTCCAAAACTCAAATCACCTTAAAAGGCACCCTTGCATTTTAAATTTGTACAAGTGCTCGGTTTACATTTTCAACTAATTAACTCATATGACCCTTTTTTTTCTTGTCTAATAGTTGGGTGAAAGTAGATTTTTGTTTGGTGAAGTACAAGACTTGGTGGAATGTTGGAAAGGTATAAGGAAATGTTAGCTAACTAAAGGATGCACTCATGACAAACGATATAGATTACAAGGACACATTTGTCTGAGTTGCAAAGGTGAACACCGTGATAATAGGCTGCCAACTTAAATTAGTAACTCTAACAGTTGATGGGAAGAATGCACTCTTTTATGATGTACATAAAGAAACCTACATGACCATTTCTCCAAGATTCAAAAGCTTGAGAGGTAAAGTATGTAGACTAAGAAAAGCCTTGTACGAACTAAACAAAATCACTAAGGGCGTAGTTTTGAAGATGCACAATGGTAATGAAAGACCTGTAGCAGCCCACGACGACCCGCAAGCCTACAACGACCCGCATCTCAACCCGACTGGATCTACACACAAGTCAACTTCTGGTGGTGCCACATGTCATACCTGAAGGATTCATATTTTAGTTTTTTAGATTTTATGTTTGAGATTTTATTTTTGCTGAAAAAATGAAAAGATATTAGGCTAGGCATTTATTCTTACAATAAAATTATTACCTTAATGGAAGGTTTCTAATTCGGAGGGAGAATTGAGTGGAAGTAAGCATTGATGTAGGATCGCCGCGTCGAAGAAGGCAGATCGTCGGAATCTAAAAAGGTGCGCTGTGACCGTCGAAGGCGCTGCGCGATTGTTGTCGGAACCGGAAGCAGAGAAGGCGGCTTCATCGATTAGGGTTTCGTTGTCTGGCGGGTAAGGAAGACGATGGGTCAAATTCGGGTCGGGTTTCACGTTCGGCCTCTGACCCAACCCACAGACGAACGCGGGGTGCGTTCGTTTTGGCCCAACACCAATCCAGCAGACGCACGCCTGTAGTGCGCTTTCCCAGCTTCTCACGCGTACTCAAGGCTCGACTCGCATGTGACGAGGTCAGCTCGGCTCCTTCTCTCCTCGGCTCGTCCGACGGTTGCTCGATGGCTCGACTTAGCGGCTCGGTACCCACAATATATCAATTTCTAGGTTTTAGCTTGTTGTGAGTGACTTCGGCCAAGACCATCGAGGTAAGTGACCTTACGGTTGGAGTTAGCTTATCGTGTGATGTATGATGGTGCGTTCCCTTTGGCCCCTACATTCACCATATCTTATATAATATGATTATGTGATGTATGGATTATGTTGACTGTTTACGCTATGAAAAGTTATGGATTATGTTGACTGTTGATTGTTTAAGCTATGAAAAGTTATGTTGGATCTGCTAGTATTATATGCCATGAAAATGTTGACTGGTGTCATGTATACACGTAGTATTATCGAGTCATGTCATGAAATGCTTATGGAACTGAAATGTATTTTCATGTTATGGAATATGCCATATAATATAAGTTATGTGATATGTCATGTAATGCAAGAAACGTTTATGTGATGTTAGCAATGCTTATGTAATGTCATATTTGGTATGTTAAGGGACCTTATGCATATATGTATGTCACTTGCATCGGGATACTTTCCTTTTATGTTACGAAAGAATGAAATACGATATTAATGTTCGCCATGATATCATGCTGCCCTTTTCTGTTCTGTGGTGTCCGACGACGTGTAATTCGTTGTGCCCGACCAAGCCAGGCCCATGAGGTACGTATACGAGCCTGTTTGGTGGGTTCATGTGTGCGTACATGGGCCGTGTGTGAAGAAGTACCACACATCCAACCCTATCCGGAACAGAAAAGCACTCAAGGCCATGTAAAGTTTATGAAAAGTTAGATCCCGCTCTTACGTTGCATGTGTTTGCATTTATAACTCCAACCGTGGGTGACTTACTTACTCAAGCCACGTGCTACCTACATTTTTCAGGTAAAAGTAAGGCACCAATGTACGGTTGACAGTGGAGTTGAGGACACCATGGAAGTGGACGAGGGACATTTTTAATAGTTTATGTTTATTTGACTGATTTAGGTTAAAGCATTGAACATTGTTTTATTTAGATTTGTTTTGAATTGAATTACAGATGGTTTTATTTCTAGAGATAGGTTTGTTTTGGATTTTTGCAAAGACTTTCTTTTATTGAAGGTTTTGGATTTTGTTTTCGAAGGTCATTTATGATGATGGGTGACGTCACTAATTAGGTTTAGAAAATTAGGGGCGTTATGTTCCAAAATCAGTCCGTCGACTCGATAAAGGAAAAATAAACTATTCTCCACCATTCACCATCAGGAAGCTAAATTTGACCTCATTTAAGGCAATTAAGATTTGTGTAAGGTTAAATTTCTCGATTTAAGTTAAATTAAGTTTATGAATTTGAGTTACATATGAAACAAGATGGACTTTCTAATAGGGAACGTGTCATGACCCGATTTTCGAGGTTTCGAAACTCAGACCGTAACCTAAAAGACGAAATCGAAAACAAACAAAAGAAAGAGAAAAAAAGAGTAAAAGATAAAAAAAAAAAAAGAAAATCCAATAAAATCAAAATAGGAGAAGATTTACCAAACAAGAGAACATACAAATATAAAGAAAGTTTAGAAAAGACTCAAAAAGACCGAAAAGAGACTGACGCTCCAGAACGACCCCCTCTGTGACCGTATAGCTCTCGGATGCTCCTCTACCTCGACTGGCAGCCTGCAAACACTTGAGGAAAAAAAAAAGGAAAATGGGATGAGTATAAAAATTATACTCTATAAGCCACCTAACAGAATTCTCACCGTCTTCTAATTGGTTCTAGGCTGTCTAGTTCTGGTCTTAGTCCCTTTGGAGTCTGCCCCTTAGGACTTGCTCTATGGAGCTTCACTGGTTCTCTGTCCTTTCATTTGATACTTAAGGGTTGGTTCTTTGTCCTTTCATTTGATACTTAAGGGTTGGTTCTCTATCCTTTCATTTGATACTTAAGGGTCCTTATGTTAAGCTGACATGATCGACATCTCTCTATGAGGCGCTACCTCTGCATCGCTATCTGAGACTACATGGTATCTAGCCTAGGGGTGTGCTGAGTACCTCTTAAGTCCATGACAGTCCCCTGGGGGGGGGGGGGGGGGGGG